ACTGCGTTAATTAACATATGTTGAATATTTATATCCTTGTTGCTAAATTTTGTTTTCCGAAAATAAAAGATATTCAGTTGAATCTCATCTGATTAAATAGAGGATGAAAAGCTCATTCAAACTACAAGCAAAAAGTTTGGGTTCATGTGCTAAGAGAAAAACAAGTACCTCTTCATTCTCTTGCTTATGACTTTATCTCTTGACTCATAATCCGGGTACTGTCAAGCTGTTTTCTCTTTGGTAACAGTCCCTTTTCTCAGCGTAGCTGATACTTTGTTCGCACATGTTTTATTGCGAAGATACTGCTCGCAATTCATAAATAACCGGAGTGAGCAGAATCCATCTTCAAGCATTTATAAAAATTGCTACAATTGCGGATGGCATCATCTATATTTTACTTGATCTTGAATGATATGTTCTAACATCACTGAGCGTCTGGTAGTTTTCATTTCCTTGGAAGCTGCAATTAATTCCATGCCCCTTAGCTTTATGATTACCCTAATACTTCACCCTTGTTCGCTAGAGCCAATATACCTGGTTGGTACGAATACCCTGGCATATAACCAAGAATCAAGTTGATCCGAGAGCAATTGCGTGAAAGATTTGTTTTCGCTGGGGAGAGGGAGACACCATTTGTATGAAAAATCCCTTCTCTCCCCTTTCAAAAAGCGCGTATAGAAAAGGCGGAGCTGCGTGGAAATATCATTAAGGATCGCAATATCCCAGCACTTGGAAGCTTTATACTAACGTATGGTCCACACAAACAATGATTTTTTAACAAACAAAGACGCCGCAAAGCTCGAAAAGGACTTTTGCACAAAATACCTTGCTTGCTTCTGTGCCCGAATAGCCGTTTAAAGACAAATTTATGATGAAATTTATTTTATGACACTGAAAAATTTGCATTTGATGTAACGTTCATGTTTACGTTTTACTTCACGCACGGCGCTTTTAAATTATGTTCACAAAATAGATTATCTTTATCGGCACTAAACATTTAACGGCAAAACATAATGTAGCATCAGTACTGCACGATAGACATACTAACAGCAACGATATCCTTTCGTACTGAGAATGATACCGTCTGTAATGGTAACATTGTAACTACCGTTTGTATGCATTATAAAAGCACGGCTCTCAGTTTTATCTAACGATAATGTTCCCTTGCAAATGTCTATAAAAATACATTTAAAAAATTCCAAAACGTAAACTATTTTATGGCAGCTATCTGCATTAACTCTCATAATTAAGCAATGCTCTGATTACTTCAAAATTAAGCGCATATAAGTAGGGCTCTGACAAAGCAAACTCATCACATACACCAAAGCTGTTTCTCAAAGTTGTTGAAATCACTGTCATACTACGTCTCTGCAAGATGTTTTCTACCCTTTTTGTTGCTTTGTGTTCGACGCAGCTGTACCCCAACCTCACATGAAATCGAGCCCATGAAAATGTTAGGGCACAAAAAAGCGTCTTTCCTGCTTTACGTTCACGCTGGGAGCTAGAGATTTTTTACTCTTTTAACGGCTTTCCTTTCAAATTTCACTCATTTCGTTTACATTTTTCTAGTCTACCTCCTCTTTTAAAAAGAACAGCCTCGATTTTGAAGCGGACTTAGAGAACAAGCACCAGCACCTTCCCGGATAAAAAGAAAGCAGTTCTGCTTTCTTTTTATCCGGGAAGCGTGCCTCCATGTCCTCGTTCATTCTCTCTACATTATTTTTGTTCAAACCTACTTTGTGCTCTAGGAAGTCGCTGTGTAATTCAGCATCTGTATTAAAAGTGACATCTATAATACATGAAGTAGGTCTGAATAAAATCAGCGAAGAGAGAATGAAGCGTACGAAGACCATCTTTCGGGATACATGGAGCAAAACAATGCTCTTTCTTTAGCTCCGATTCGCAGCGTTTTTCCTCACGAAAGAAGCGAAAGCGAGGTTGAAGAAAGAACGAATAAAGGTTGAAGTGAAAGAAAAGGGCTGAGAACGCTTAAAAATGGAACTTATGGGAAAATTAGAATATAGCCTCGATTTGCCGAGCTTTGAAAATTGTTGGCGTGCCCTAACTCAAGACAGATGCCTGCGGAAACTACGTAGAGGCTTTCTGGAATACATAAAGTAGGTCTGTTACGCATAGACGCACGTAGACACATCTTCCCTGGTACATGGAAGCAAGACGGCGCTCTCTACCCTAAGTAAATTTTACCCTCAAGGGTAGAATTTGCGCTCGGTTCGTTAATCGATACGGGTTGATTGTGTTTTGTGGTAAACCCTACCCCCCGCTCAAGGGTTCGTTGATGAATACGTGCAATGAACCCTGAGGGTTGAACTTATTCTCCACGGTAAGTTTAGTCCTTAGGGTTCGTTGATAAGTACGCCACAGGAGTTTTGCGATTCGAACAGAAAGATTCGCTGGAAGATGTTCAAGGAACTCAGCCAAAAATTGCTGAACCTCAATTTCAATGAATTCCACTCACGACAAAATCGCTCCGCGGTTGTGAACACGTAATCATCGTTGTCGTAGAGGCACTGTAGAATCGAAATGTTCTTGACTTTGGTGTTATTGCACGAATATGTCCTTCCGACCCCAGAACTAGAGAACAACTAAAAATAACGCAAAAGAGGCGTTTAATTTAATTCAAGTTTGTTAATTACTTATTTACCGTTCTTGGTAATATATTGCAGAATTGAGTTGTGCACTTTTTGATTCTCACTATAAGGCAACTATGCTTGAAGGAAATAATTTATTTTTGGTATAATTCACACCGTTTTATTATTCCTGCAGTTGAGCATCTTTCGCCTAACATCTAGAATGAGACCTCTAATTTTTGTACGAAAGATCGTGAGTGGAATTCATTGAAATTGAGGTTCAGCAATTTTTGGCTGAGTTCCTTGAACATCTTCCAGCGAATCTTTCTGTTCGAATCGCAAAACTCCTGTGGCGTATTTATCAACGAACCCTAAGGACTAAACTTACCGTGGAGAATAAGTTTAACCCTCAGGGTTCATTGCACGTATTCATCAACGAAGCCTTGAGCGGGGGGTAGGGTTTACCACAGAACACAATCATCCCGTATCGATTAACGAACCGAGCGCAAATTCTACCCTTGAGGGTGAAATTTACTTTAGGGTAGAACTTACCCCACGTAACAATCAAGCCAATTCACGAACAATAAAAAGAATTGTGATAAAAAGGGACAAAAACAGAAGTAAATCTTTGAAAATAGTTTTGTGGAGTTTTCATTGAACGGGATTTCGTTTTGAACAAGATGGCGACTCTCTCGGACTTGCTCGAAAAGTCCCATACGGCATCATACCAAAAACGATAAGAGTTGCCACGATATTTGAGAATACAGAAAAGGTGACTCGAATAGATGTGAGACCATTAAAAATACTGCCACAGCACCAAGTTAGCAACCTTGACTTTTGACGCTCTGTCTCTAGACTATCAAAGTAGAATTTTTGTACACTACTTGATTCACAATAATTTGTAAAAAATTTCAAAAAGAATAAAAACTTGACGTTATTAAGCAGAACAGCATAATAGAAAATTATTCAACATTAGTATCTTTGAGAAGAAAAACTTTGTTCGGAAAGAAAATAATTTGAGGTATCGAGAAAAACGAGAAGCAGATACTCAAGTGGTTAGCTCTCTTCGTTGTTGCTGAGCTGAAAATCTGGTTTAATTCCACCCTGCTCTTAATTTCTGCCGCAGAAATTCTGCTCACAATGTTAGCGTCAGGCTATCGATAAAGCTAACAAAATAGCCTTGTTATTCTATAAAACTGAGTGAAACTCAATAATTTTTCAAGTTTTCGATTTAAATCCATAATTTTGTGATTTGGAAAAGTAGAAGAAGGTTTGCGTTCCACAGTATTTTGAACACAGCTTCTTATCTGCTGACCTCGGAGAAATTGGCATTTTAGTATTTGAGTTTACTAGCTAATGGGGTACGATTAAGCTCTAAGAACTTGTAATTTTTTTATATAGCAATAGTCTATAGCGTGGTACGTTTCAATCTCGCAAAAAAAAGTAAAAACAAAAAATTCGCTAAGGACATCAATGTTGTAGAAGTTTTCTTTATCAGCTGATACTTCGCAGAAACACAGCTGGAATCTAATTTTGTTCTGATGCATACCTTGAACACTGTAATAATACTTTTGCGAGTTTTAAAACACGTACTTATAGAAAAAAATGCACCAGTAAAATAAACTTTCCTTAAAGAATCTTTCTTCATAAATTGCTTTTCAGCGAAAGGTTGTGATTGGAACAACATCATAAGAAGTAGTCCTTTTCCTGATCTCCGATTAATGTGTCATAAATTTGCTGACAACTCAAAGTGTTAATGAATTTTAATCGATTCACGCAAGAACCTTTGTGCCAGTCTGGTATTATGTGAATTACATGTACAGTATGGAAAACTACTTCAGGCAAAGTCTTCAATTCCACTTTCATAGGACCCTAACCTTTATCAGCTTGCAAAGTCCTATTTATTGCTCTTCTGCGTGTTTGTCAGGGACTACCTTGGGAAGCGGATGTATTTTCTGTTCAACACGCCCAGATGATTTCGTCTGAGTTTAGAGCAATTTCTGAATCCCGGGCTTCATACAATTGTTTATTCGAAAACGGTTACAGCAAGCAGACATCATTTTCAGCAAAAACATACTCTCTTTCCTTTTAACGATGTCTTGCGAATAATGTAGGTTTGATCCCTTACTGTATTCCCCTAAATCCGAAAAAGCTAGAACGGCACATCCTGTACAACTCATGCAGTCCTTATGTTAGCAATTCTTTCCTCAAGAGGCTTTTATCGTTTTCATTTAACTTATGCCATGTATTCCTTAATCGCCCCCATAAAAAGGCACTATCTTGACCAGCGCATGCAATGGGATGTATGAGATGTGAACAAGCAAATTCGTGCATTTGGCAAGTAGTTATCACTTCCTAAACGAACGGTGACAGATTTCTGTGACTGCTATGCGCATACATGTATAGAGATCATACAACTGATACTTTTATGCAAAAAAATGGATTAATAACATTTTTTTTTGGGTTTCATCCCAGGCAAATTGATTTTAGTCCAAACGCACTTCGTCTTCTTTTTCTTCTTTGCATCAACAGCATCAAAGATAGAGCTTGACTGTAAATCGATGGAATGATAAGGATTTTAGGTCATTAAAACTTACCAGAAACAAGAATATCACAAGTAAATGCACGAATAACATCAAGTTCATACTTGATGTTCAGGACGAAGTGTAGATGCTGAAGTGTCTAAAGTCGCAGAAACATTATGCGTATAAATTAGAATAAAGGTAAGGACGATAGTCTAAATAGATTAGCATAAAGTTGATTGAACAAGCAGACAACACAGCGACTTATTTCTACATGAGTACAAAAACATCATGTGTATTAGAAATAATGAATTGTTAAGAATCTTCTAGCTCGTCGACTACAATAGTGGCGAAATCCTGAAAATGCAGCCTATGTCTACTTAATTCCTATAGAATGGCCTGCTGCATACTATCCAAAATGGAAAAGGGGGAAAATTAAAACGATAAAAGTTTCGCATAAACTTTAGAATTAGCAATTCTTGGGGAGTCTTACTTATATACGGAAAATGTTCTCATTTATAGAACAAAAAATGATGTCGTTTTCACTTTTTAGTGAAAATTCGCTCAACAGCAAAAATCAGAGGCAAAAAACACTTGACCAATACTTCAAAGTACCAATTGAATGACTAATTACTCGCTATAACCTGCAGCTTTTTGTTTATAGAATTATATACACAGCATCGTTCAAAAGATTTGTCGAGTGCGTAACGTGCTGGGGCAAATAGTAGGATGTCTATGGAAACGGTAAGAAAGGCCATCTCCCATGATTTATACTTTTGATAAAAAATAAGTTCAAGCTTGTTTAGGCAATGTTTGCAAGCAGTTAGTGTTTCCTTGTTTCAAAATGATGATAGTAGTTATTGGGAAGTTCGTGCAATTTTTGGACTTATGCATTATTTACATGAGATAAATTTACACTTCAAAACAATATCCGACATAGCTTCTCCCTTCTTTTCAGCAGCATCATATTCTTGGGTTGTAGCCAAAGTTTTGAACATGAAGTTTCTATCTTGTCTAGATTTCCACTAATTGACAACATTTTGATGAAAACAAAGCAAACATTCAGCAAAAAAAACGCCGTCCCTGCACCCTGCATCCCTTCAGTTGACTCTTCATGAATTTTGAAAGTATTCTACTTTTTACATTTAATTTCTTTTGTTCTCGAATATGCGGAGTCCTCTTCTTTTCTAGATATGTCTTGAATAATGCGAAGGGTTCATTGAGGGTTGTCGCATGTCCTTCCTAAAAATATGCTGGAACTGGTAATAAAGGGACGGATGATCTTGAGGAGCTGCACCGTGGTATGCAGCTAATAATGCCATTCCTTCTTCAAAGTATATCTCATCAAAATGACTATTATATTTGACTTCATTTTAAACACATCTGACGGCAACCTTGTATTGTGTAGACGCTCTATTCTCCACTTTTTGATGTTTGAGTTTTCTGCACAAAACTAAAAGAGTTCTGCAGGTATGTAGTTGACCATCATTTTCGCAAGCGCTCATACAGACAAGAATTGAAGGAATCTTTGTAATAATGTCCAATGATTAATGAACTGTAAAACTTGAGGTGTTGCATTTTTCGATGTTGCTTCATATAGGTAATATCAACAAAGAATTTGCTCAAAATGTTTCTTGAAAAATGAACATTGTTTTTGTGAAAAAACAGTGCATGGCAGATTTTTCGCACTCCGTCTATGCTGTTATAGCTCTGTTTTGACTATGATGTCGATTTGTCTAAAAAGTCGCGAGCTTTAGATTCGGACAGTGACCACCGAGACAATTTCTCTCGCTTTTCAAATTTCTTGCGGCATATGCCCCTGAATTTTGATAAGAGAGTGGTGGCAAATTCTCAATTTTTTCCTCAAAACTTCAGCAGTCATTTCAAATCATGAAGAGTAAAAACAGGTCAACTTATGACTTATAAAGGCAATTTTTTTGGAGGAGCAAGGTTTTGCGCACTTCTCACTTTTCCTCCTTTCGCCTCCGATAATTTCTATTGAACATTTGGTATACTATCCGCATAACGGTTCGACCAATGTGGCTCCTTGATTTGCAGAGCTGTCGATATCTTTCTTGCTCATTGAAGCCTGGCACAGCTGAATGAATAGTTTAAGTAAGAAAATTTTCTTTATTAGTTTCTGTCTTTATGATATGCTGGATTGAATAAAGGTTTATGTCTAGCTTCAAATCGAATGACTGCCATCAGCTTGATTAGTTGAAGTCACTAAAGCGCTTACTTCGTTAAGTCAGCAGCTAAACGTTTTCTCTCTTTTGCACTAATCTACTCAAGGTACTTCACGTTCTGTACCTTTTCCAGAACTGGTGGGTCCTTTCTTCTCCATATTTATGCCTCTACCTCTTCAAACTCTTTATCATAATCTAACGCTCAGAGCAGATTCACTCTCGGAAATCCTGTTGCATACATATTTTTGCAGCGTAATTAGTGCAAATGTTCACTTGGCGAACGCTTGCTCAACCGCAAACAAGGCGGAAAACGTTTAACTGCTGACGCTGAGTAATAGCGTATGACTCCACTTCTTTCTCTTAAATGACGCAAAATTCTAGAATTTTACTGGACCGTAAGTCTTTGTTATAATTCTTCTCTAAATCTTTTGGTCTCACTCGCGCTGATGCGTTGATGGTTACTTGAAGCATTTAGGTTGATGATCAGCTATAGTGGGCTATATGAGATGAGTCCTCCTACTTCCAAATCTAAGACAGCTGGTGCAGAGCTCTTGTCTGAAAAAGGTTCCTTCATTCTTTAGAAGAGTTCATTCGGCCTTTGCTCATCTTTTTGCCATAATGCATTCAAATTTCTTTGAAGGTCAGGAGCAGGGTCAAGGAAGGGGTGTGGCACACGATCGCTGGTTACGACCCCCCCCCCCCCTAATTGCTGTCTTAATAAGACCCCCCCCCCCTGGACTATACCCTTAAGATAGCATTACTTGGAGGCCCTGTCAAACATAATGGGCAACATATCCATAATGAGCATGTCAATTAACCTCTGTAGACAAAGTTTGAGCGAATTCTGAAGATTCAAGATACTACGCTACCTAAGTGAAATGGTCAGATTCCAACATGGTTAACTTTGTTTCAAAGGTGAATTAGCTATCCGTTTTCGCACTCAAGACAAAGCACTACTCCTTCTTTGTCCACCTCAGAAATCCCGCTTCAGAAGACCTCCAAACTGTGGAATTAGAAGCCAACCAAAATCTCGTTTTTCCCATTTTTCGCTTTTGATCGCTGTGCTTTCACCAAATATTACTCAGAGCTAAGAAGACGAATCAGGCTCAAATCACTCCTGTGAAAAGTAGGTGATCTAGGCTATCGATCCGTATAAATGTCCGCTAAAAATGTTTTTTTGATATAGTTAATGGCCTGCGGCACCCCCCCCCCCCCCCTTAAAAGCTGCGGCAGCCGCAGGTTTTGTGGGGGGGGGGGGGTGCCGCAGGCCATTAACTATATCAAAAAACATTTTTAGCGGAAAATATTTATATGAATCAATAGCCTAAACCTCGTAGATTCCATAGGGATGTTTTGAGCCTGATTCGTCTTCTTAGCTCTGAGTAATATTTGGTGAAAGCACAGCGATCAAAAGCGAAAAATGGGAAAAACGAGATTTTGGTTGGCTTCTAATTCTACAGTTTGGAGGTCTTCTGAAGCAAGATTCCTGAGGTGGACAAAGAAGGAGTAGTGCTTTGTATTGAGTGCAAGAAGAGGTAGCTTACTCACCGTTAAGATGAAGTTAATCATGTTTTAAATTACTACTTTATACAAGGTTGCTTACTGCTCGGAGACCTCAGAGTTCGCTGAAACTTGGCGCATAGGGGTTATTCGACACGCGGATTACGACAATTATGCTTGATTAAAGGTACGGTAGGTTACGGTAGGCATACGGTATCTGTAAGTTTGTGCCGTTAAACTTGCATTTTGCAGGATTGCAACAGCGCTTTCATCAAGTCAATTTAATAACACAGCTTGTACAAGTGCTTTTGACCTTGGGTCGATACGACCCCCCCCCCCTACCTACCCCCCCCCCCCTAACGACCCCCCCCCCCCCCTGCGGCGTGCCGCACCCCCCGCTTTACCCTGGTCAGGAGTCTGCTTTGAGTGTAACTTTTGGAGATTGAGAGTATCATTGAATGCCTACAAACTGTCGCTCGTAAAGAGATTTTCCGCACGTTCTGTGTATCATAGTCGCCTAACGACTTTGAGAATGACGAATGTGTCAGGTCCCGCATTTTTGCATGTTTTCCACCAGTTACAGAATCAAGGCATCAGAAACCGAAATGTTTGCTGTAAGCATATAGGTTTCCGAAAAAAAACCTGATTATAGTTTGATGCTTAACATCGTAAAGAATGTTCTATTAGTTCGTACTGGAAGTAGTAGTTTTGCCAGCATAATGTATGACGAGCATGATGTGCAGCAGAACAAGGGTCGTGAAGATTAGGTGTACTTGAGTAGCTTGCCATCAATATAAATGGTGTTATCGTCATGCTATTTAACCGACAAGCTCTCAGAAAATTATATAGAAAAAGCACGAACAGTGGTTTTTGCCATGGTCAAGTTTCGTTGGTTCTTGAACTTTTATACCAATCACTCGAGGAAGCCAAGAAGCGGATGAATTGAGCAAATACCCTTAAGACACAAGAACGAAACATTTACCCTGATTCTACCTTCTCAGATAATATTTCTGCTCACAATTCTAGCGTCGGGCTGCCCTTTCAGAGGAGGCATGGGGTGATAGTACTTTACTGCGCCACACATGTAATATCAATAAGTAGCCCTGTTGCTCTATGAATTTGGAAAAGTTGCCAAATTCTCGATCTAAAACCAAGATTTTGTTTATACAGTGCTGGACATAATTATACAGCCACTCTAGAAATCGTCGTAATTTTTGTTCTTGTCAATGAATCTGTCTGAAACTTTGCTGTATTGTGCGCATGTCAACCTACCATAACCCCTCAAAACGGCTTCCAGACTTGTTGAGTTTGAACGGAGAAAAACGAAAAAAATCGAAAAAGCCCTCTTTGAAAGCTGGACAAAATTATACAGCCACCTGGTTTTTCTAATCACTATCGCATTCGTTGACTCTCAAATTTTTTTGTAGAATTACATCCCAAAATATGAAACATTTGCGACACTTACGGCCTGTCAAC